AAAAAAAAATTTCACAAAACATCCTAATAAGGTTCTGAAAAAATTATCATATGATCCCAATGACTTCGTAATAGTCCAGAATAAATTCTGTTGCGTTGCGTTTGATAAAATTAATCCGTTCGATAAAAATTAAAATTAATCTGTATAATCATCGAATCGGAATTAAGTACATCGAAGTATTGACCGAAAATTTTTCACTGTCGTTCCTGAACGCACACCATTTCGTTGCATTACTGCCCATCAATCAGTGTCGTAAATGAAACGTTAGCAAACGAAAATTGCGGTTGACAGTATCTGAAGATTAAAAAACAGTTCATTCAAATAATGAATTTGCACTGGCTTATGTCAAAGAACAGGCTAACCTTCAAAAAATTGCTTGAGAAGTATTGTTTAGAGCCGGATACATGTCATTTCTGTGCATCAGCTCTTTCCTTACAATTAGTTGCAATGAATTATAAACTGATGGGTGTATAGTACCAATGAAATTCCTTATCAAAATGTCGCTGTTTATTTTCACTTGATCACTTTTGAGATTTGTTGTGCTAAAATGCATGCGCTAAGATGCAAAAAAACTCAAATGTTCATGTCGACAGCAACAGAAGTTTGCATAGCACAATTGTGAGTAGTTGATGAGCGAAGAACTATATGAAACTTGAACAAAAGAGCAGATGACAGCAATGATTCATTAAATAAACATATAACCTAAGCAGAATGTTCCTTCTCAACTTCGTCAATGGCCATTAAATGCGTTAAATCGTGATTTATAATTGAACAATACATTCAAATCATAAGCTACCATGACCAATGATATCAAGTTGTAAAGTAATCAACTCATATGTGCATCAATTTCCAGAGAAGGGTCATGGTGTAGTAGCATTTTTTGGTGCAACGCAATTTGCTGAAGGTGAATGGGTTGGTGTTATATTGGATGAAGCGAATGGCAAGAATAATGGAAGCATAAAAGGAGTGAAATATTTTGAATGTCAGCCCAATCACGGAGTATTCATACGCTCCTCTCATGTATTGTTACATTTGTTCATTAAATTTTATTCGATAATCATCCCATCCAATGTGCGGTAGTTGCATCTGAATCCATCCGCATAATAAGCTAGCAGTGGTTGATCTCAATTTCTGTATGTCACCAGGTATTAAAACCTAGAGAAGGCATCATTGTCTGAGCAAATGAGTTAAATAACATAGAAGACCAGGTTAAATTTCTTTCTGATATTCACTCATATTCAAGTTCAGTCATTTTCCATACACTAATGCAAACATTTCTGTGGTTCAGGTTAAACCCGAATCGAAATCAAAAATAATTCCACCGCAACAGTCATCGTTACGTGCACAAGCCACATCTCGTAAAGAATCATCAAGAAGTCGTTTCTCACCGGCGGTTTGTTTTTATATGATTCAGTCAAGAGGCTTTCACCAAGTTAAAGACTATCTCGGAGAATCACCGAGTTAATTGGACCCTCCCGGGAAGATGGAAGAAAGGGGAACAAAGAAGAGAAAAAGATGGGAGAAGGGAGGAGAGGATGGCGAAAAGAAGGAGGAAACGAAAATTGAAGACAGAGAACGAAGAAAAATGAGCGTCAAAATACACCTCAAAATTTATCTATTATTCTGGACTATGCCATTTTGCAGTCCCTCCGCCTCTTCTCTGGAAAGAATCCTTGCCATGCCGCTGATCACTTTTCTACGTTTGAAGATTTTGCGAATTTCAAAAAAGCAAAGACTGCTTTAAAATTTGTTCGAAGTTGTTGGGTAATGGAACCGTAAGAATGAGCTTGAGGCTTCGTATATACCTGATTTTTACGTCAAACATTATTTCATAGTCAGAGCTGTCCATTGAACGGCTATTAAAGCAACTCGTTACGATACAAAAACCGTTTTTGCTGTCGTTTCGTGCATTCGTTTGCATCATCGATTAAGAATGATATTGAAGCTAATTCTCACGATCGTAGTCACCATAAAGTGGTCTTCATCTCATGATCTATTTATCGATTAACTGACATACATTCGAGGTTTGAGTTGACTGCAAGTGATTATGTCTTATGATCAGCATGAGCACGCCAAACGATCAAAGTTTTATAGGCAAGTCCACGAATGACACCATCTTCATCCGTTGATCAACTGAAGAGTTCAGGAAGTTCTTCGAATCTGGCAAATTCAGGTTCAAAAAGACAATCTCCGAAAGACGAAGCGAAGCATATCAGTAAACTTACGGCTCCGACTCCTCGAACACCACCTGCTCATGAGGTCCGTTTTCGCAGACTTAATTTGCCAGTGGGCATCATCCACTGTGAATTTTTCTCTTCTTCTGTCGGCCTTTCTTTTTCTCGCATTTGTTTTAGTTTCTTAAATTTTTTTTTCGAATTATCCGGTTCTTTTTCGATATAAAATATGATTGTTTGGTGCACTGGTGTTGTGTTGGTTATTTTTATTGAGTTGTTCATTGCTTTGTGGGAGTTAGTGGTATTTACAATCGCTATTATTCATTCGTTCAGTTTTGGGCTTTTTTTTTTGATAGTTAGTCTTCTTTCTGGGAGTTATTTAATTAAGTTTTGATCGTCATCAGCCGATCATTGAGCAAAATGATCACTCAATACAATGGATAATTCATCGCGAAATAGGTAAAGTTATGATATTGGTTTGATTTCGTATATGTTCGTATCGTCAATCAGGTGCAATTAACATCGTTTTGTCTCATAGCAACAGAAGTGAGAATATGCATTAAACAAAGCGAACCAATGGCATGTGGTGGTAGTAGCTTAGAATGTTGTATCGATTAATGAATGTCTACAATATAGAAAGATGTCTTCAGAAGGTTAAAGTCCGTTCGAGCCGCCTTACACCCTATACGAAGCGTATTTCTTCATCAGCATTGTCCTCACCTCGAAACACTCTACAGTCTCATAGACAGCGTATTACATCGAGCGCAATTAAGGTATCACCACAATCAGTCTACCCATCCTCCCCATTACTCTTGCGCTCCTATCACTTAATCAATCACCACTCATCCATTACTCTTTCTGCTAACTAACCGAATCACTAAGACCACTGATTCCTCAAACAAATCCACTTTCTTAACACTACTAAATCGAGCTTGTTCTCTTTTCCGATCCTGTTGCGTAATCGCTTTGCAAAGTATTGTTCGAACAAACAAGATGCCTAGAACGAAATCGATTCCAATCGAATCAATGAACAATAAGTGAACAGGTGATCTGTTGAAGAAAATATTCATTGTTGGATATCAGAAAATGACGGCTAAGAATCATTTTCAGATTCTGTGTCGTATCCTACAGAATTCAAAGAGTTATTCCGTTGTTTGAAAAAGAAAAAAGTTACAATTCGTTTCAGATTAAAGCAACTGAACGCAGTCCTTTGGTATTGTTGTTGGGATGCACAAATAATGAATGTTAATATTTGGTTTCTGTAAAGCATGTTCTGTGGTCTTCATCTCTATCATTTCGCACGCAATCCTATTAAAGCTTTTTGAACCTATTTTCCTTAACTCCTTGTTTATAATTTTATCTATCACATTGATTTGTTCCTATTCTCCTACAAAAATGATTCTTTTATCAGTTATTGTTGAAGCTGTTTCTTGTGATTTTTGCGTTGAAGTGAATTATTGCACCATTATTTCCGTGTTTTAGTAAGCGAACATATTTGCTGGAAGATAAATTCGAGTGTGTATGTATGTGCGTCGTATGGTGATGGCTGCCTCCGAATTTTAATCGGATTTTGCAAAATTTGATTAGTTTTCGGAAGGATTCAAAATTCACTTGATAGAGTTGCCATCAAAATGGAATCACTTGCTATTTCACTACAAAATGGCATCAGTTACGCTGGTGATTCAAAACACGAAGTACAATATATTTAGAAACAAAGATTCAAGGTTACTTCTTACAGCAACCATCGAATGTAGTCGAGAAGCAACAGCAGTCGCAACAAATACCAGCGACGAACTCGGCGAGTGAGGACGTCGATACAGGCACGTCGGGTCATGACACATCAACAGATGCTGTACGAGAAATGGTCAAGAAAATGGAGGAGGTTAATTGCATTCTTTTTTAAACTACTCAAGTGATTCTTAACTGACACGATACTGAATTCCTGATAACTAACATGAAGCAGTGCCTATGCGAAGTAGATGTATTTCATTCATTTGATGCATTTCATGAAAGACCTTTGAATATGGCTAGTGCATTTTTTAAATGAAATGATGACAGTTTGTATCTTTTTAGTTCCTCCGAAAAGAGATTTTATTGGGAGAGAGTGAGTAGCATTGATTCATAAAATTCTAGTACATAACAAGCATCGTTTGACGGAGGTTTCGGTTACTTGATTGCAGTATGATACAAATTGAGAGGCAATTGCATTAGATGATAGTTTAGATGATTAGGCAATATAATACAATTGAATTAGATGAAGATTAGTCATTCGGTGAGATGTTTCAATGCGACAGCTATCTGAGTTTGCGTTTAAAAAAATGACATATTCAAAGACCACATTGAGTGCGTTTCCGTTCGTAACAATATACAAACACGCATGAATGAGCATCCATACTTGAAGATATCCAAACGTATCGACGCAGTCATTTAGCCTTTTCCGTTTTCCATCCACTGATCCATTGCTTTGGCCATCCATCGGAATCATAAAACCAAATGAGTATTTTCTAACTGCGCATCTTTGGTTTTTCGTTTGCTGAAAGCTGGTTGAAATGTGAGTGAGTGTGTACGTGTGTGTGTGTGTGTGTGACTTATGTTGTGTGACTGACTCTGTGACTGTGACCAAAATATTCATGAATTAATCTGCCTCACTTTTTTGTTAGCCATGGACTATTTCACTTGACTGTTGTGGTGTGTCCTCAGTATTTCTTACAGATGCGAGGTGTTCACTCATCCGTCCATTCATCAATTTATAATGTAAAATGCAGTCAATAGTACATCTACACATTTGCTGAGTGTTTCCATGTTTTTTTAAAGCTTGATACTCGAACATATGCTAAAGGCTAGCTGTAACTCGTATAGCTGCTGTATATAGACAACTCTATATGTGGATGGATAGACATTACAGCCCCGAAAAGCCATGAACAACATGCAGCATAGTGTATGGCATAAGATAACGCATACTAGCATGGAACAGCATGCCTCCTTAACAACATTCACTACTTCAGTTGACTATGTACTTTGCGTTATCATCTTTCATCAACTCCATACAAACAAATTCAGTTCAGTTCCCTGATGTGACTATTTCCGGAGTCAACATCTGACTTAGACTTAGGCCAGTGGATAGGATCAAAGTTGAATTGGTAGACATCGAACCGATTGAACCCGATTCGGCTGGTGGTAAGCGAAAACCAAACTTCGGTGCCACTGACCGGAACCGAACAAGGCCAGTTTTTGGTAGCGATAGAAAGCTGTTGGCTAACGACCGAAGCTCAAAATTTGTTGTGTCGATGGGCAACGAAATAAGTCTTTTTAATTCTAACTTTAGCTAGGACTCAATACAATTAGGGTTCTTCTGTTAGACGTTAATTCAGGAATTTCGTTGAAATTCATCAATGAAGCGTGTGGCTTTGGTGTTGTTGTGGACAATTCGATTTTGATTACTTCATAAAATTGTTTGTTTCGTTTTGATAATAAACAAAAAGAGTAGATAAATGAAAAAATGACAATTGATTTGAATTTCATAAATATGAATGTGAACATTCAGTCAACACTCTCAATACCAGCCGTTCGTCCGGTTGGAATGGAAGAAGGAAGTGAGTTGGAGTATCTTCGAATCGAAAATAAAGAACTTAGTGATAAACTCATCAATTTGAGGTTATTTTTATACCATATTCAGATTGTAATCAAATCATCAAACGAACTTTCATCTCTTTGCTTATATCAGTTTATTGTGGAATAACGATGCGATTGCTGATTGTGAGAAAAGAAATAATGAGATTGCCAAAAAAGCGTATTGGTAATGCAGTCCTCACATTATTATTCAGCCACATGCACCTACCAAGTAATATCATAAGCAACAACGGTCTGGCGTGAAATTAATTGGAAAATAGAGAGAAAAACCGTGAATGCAATTTCACAGAATAACGCTATCGAATTTTTAAATTGTTCCATCCTCACGAGAGATTTTCGGCAGAAGATAAAGCTCACAGCAGAGAGACTTCAGCAGGCGAGAATTCGAAGTGCAGCATATGTTTCAGGAAGAGTAAGATGAGAGTAAACCGAAAGTGTGTTGCTTGTGTTGAGTTGTTATAATTTTGGTATTTTTCTCGATTTATTTTATAGAGAAAAGCGCAAAGAAGATCAACGAAAATTGGTGGAATATGAAAGGAATCGTATACAACTTCAAGCATTGCTTGAATATAAGGCTAAAATGACTGAGGCTCATACTGACCTACAGAGGAAACTGCAGGAGAAAGACAGAGTATGAAATCATTGATGAATATTTCGTTTTTTCAACCATATTATGTTTATGATTGCATGCGATATAAAGTTTAATCTGATTCATTTGAAAGTGTCGTTGCACACCAACCTTAATGAGTGCGCAATATAATTGTTCTAATCAGTTCAGCCAGAGCGCAACACTGATCGCTTCACTCATCGATCAGTTTCCGTCCGTATTGCTCAATCATTTCTACGAAGCGGGCACTAATGAATGCTCTCTGCCACAAATATTTTGCTTAATTTAGTGCATAAACATTTTTCCGATCGTCTAGAGTAGTGAACAACCGCTTAGTATTCAAATAATAATTGATATCTTATCATTTGCTCGTTTGAATATTTTGTATGGAGGGAGTTCTTCTTAGAAGTTAATCAGTGTTTTTGAATTATTAATTGGAATGCTATTGAACCTTGATATGATGATGATGACGAACAAATACTGTTAAGGAGTTACGAGAAGTATTAGCATCGAAAGCGAATGAACGTGAAGATGTGAATGACATTGAAGAACAACTGGAATTGATAACGCTCGACAAAGAAATGGCCGAAGAAAGAGCTGAGATGTTACAGGTCAGTTCTACTCTTACAGCGATTCATTCGTTATTATCGTTACTTGCTTGAACTGGATGCACCAGTCATCCTACGCTAAACTCAATTCTACACAAACGCAGTTTTATTGAGATGCGAACTGTTAAAGAAGTGCACACAATTAGTTTTCTAATTCATTTAGTACTATTAGTCATCTTCATAGGTAACGCTCATTAATTAGATGCAAACGCTTAT